TCTGTTACAAATGCCAGCCCTTTGTTGATTGTAGACTGGAATCAAGAAATTAATAAAGCTTATGTGTAATATCATTCAAGGAAATACTTTGTCTTGACAAGTATTCTAATTGTGTAGAGTAGATCTGTATTGTTTGAGAGAAAACTGTTTATCATAAATGTGTTGAGATGGGACACTTCTGTCATGTTAAAATTTGTAAATGACATCAAAATTCTCAGCAACATAAGTGGGTGTAGAGGTCTGCTTGTTTCACTAGTATGAATTTCACAACAAAATCAAAATTTTAGTTCATAAAGTACATTAGAAACAATGTACTGATCTCCAGCATGAGCAGGGTTAAGTCAGTATTTCTTTTTACACTTTTTACAGCTATAAACAGAATTTGTTAGAGTTTGTCATAGTGTGACCAGGTTTTTTGTATAGATTTTGTTACTACATTTTGTATTTCTGTAAGGAAATGAATGGTTATTCATGAACAATGGTATGATAGCAACAACAACAAACACTTGACACGTGTGATGGTATCAAACATTTAAGTATTGAATGTTTTGGAATATACATATTCCAACTTCAGCAAGCTATATTGAACAAGGTAGAATATTAGATATACAAAATTTCTCAATTACTAAAGTTCCAACATTTTGAATTAAAATACAGAATAAAAGGATGAAGTCAATTAAAAAAAGTGAGAAAGAATAGGATAGTCCAACAATTGTTTCAGTATTATATAAGTTATTCAAAACAGACTTAACTGTAGAGAAGTTGTGTAATTGTTTAATTTTGAGAGTTCATTTATAATAGATAAGCTCTCTGTAACTAAAAGTTCAGTATTGGATGAGATGATTTGAAAATTTTTAATCAAGATGGGGTGGTTGCTGTTTTCACTATATATGTGAATTGTGGAGTCTGGAAGATTTGATAATTGTTTACCAGTTCTCTTTGATAAATTGCACGTTTATAATATAGATATTACTACAGGCCTTAACAAATATTTTCAGGCTAGGAGCCAGCCCCAAAACTCAGGGGCTAGGTGTGCCTAACCTAACTCACTACTTTTTGTAAAAGGAAATGGTGGCTACACTAGTGCCTTGATTATCCGCACCTCCGTTATCTGTGATCCTCGATTATCTATGGTGTTTTTCTTTTCCCCAACTTTTCACAAAATAATTGTGCTATTACAATTCTAGACAATATTTTACATGTTTTGGAGTAATTGTCACTCAGAAATTAATTTTGGTTGCAAAAGTTCAGGTGTTGCATGATATCTGGGGTTTTCGCATGCAGAATCTGGCATGTGTTCAGATCATAAATTGACCAGTTCAAGCCTAGCCTTGCTTCTTATTTTTAGCTGTTAAGACACAAAATATTTGTAGCTTGGGTAACTTTATTTGATTAGTGATTAAAAAACATAGTATACAAAATACACATTAAGATTTTTTAAAGATTTCACTCAACTTCAGTTATCTGTTTTTCTATACTGCAGGGTCATTTAACCACAGATGCATTTTCAGGTTGTGTTGAGGTGTCACCCAGTTATGCATTCTCCTCTTCCCTACAGATGATTGGTATATTCATTCTGATTTAACAAAGGCTTTTTCATAACAATTTCCAAGCATAGATTTGTGCTTATTTTTTACTTATTTTTCATAGGCATTGACAGGGTGCGAATGTCTATAGCAGAAAAAGTGCCAAAATTTAGAAGCTATGTACGCCTATGTTAATGATTAAATTCAACTAAAATAGGAAAGGGCAATCAAAAGAAGTATAATAAGTGAAAAAGTGGAATTGCACTCGTATACCTCATGGGAAATCGAGCATGACCGATACTTGGCTTTTATCATTAGGATTGTGATGATTTTTATAATTTTTCATGATAATGTGATAAAACAACAGTAAAAAGATTATAATTTAAAACAAGGAACTTAAATATATTGAAAAATTGTAGTTAGATTAAACAATGTGCTAACTAGTGAGATACACTAGTGCTTCAATTAGCTGCGATATTTTGCTTTCCATGGACCAGTATATATTTATTTACTTTCACAGCAACGAGTGCATGCTAACAATCACAGGGTATCAACAACTACTTGATAGTATTACCTGAACTAACTGCCTTTGGTCCTGTCTGAGTCTAAACACGTGCCCTGATTAATTGAATTGAGAAAAAGAGGAAAAGCAAAATGGTGTGAAATTAGTAATGTGTTGTGCAATCGCAACACTTCATTCCGGAAAAAACATGAAGTGCTGAATCCACCATTGAAATCCTAGAAACAAAGTTTGATTTAGGACTTAAAGAACATGAAAATAGTTCCAGACTTCCAAGAGTCCATAATGTTCTAAATTTGAGTTGTCTTTAGCACAGCTCTACGCACCATTAAAATGGGAGAAAATAATAGGTGCCATGATGAAACTTTTAGTCACCATAGTGACCTTTTTGCTCACGATTTGTCAAGAGCTGTATTACTAAGAAAGTCGAGTAAACATGCCGTGCCCTCTCATCACTTCCTGTCTTTCAAAAAAATATCAATAATTTTCTGTGACATTTGCTATTAAATTATTTATGACCAACAGAAGAACAGTATTTCAATTTACAGATTGCTGTATAAAGCCATCTTATTCTCACAGTAGGTTTTCAATTATTTGATCTACAGATTCATTAATGCTATTGCCAAGGTCACCTTGACCAGGTATGGGAAATATCTTAATCCATTTATAACTTAGTTAAAAAGCCAGTTGTATAATTAGTTTTGATCATTATATTTTTTTACATGTTTTTATTTTGTTTTTAATTGTATATTTGAAAAAGATATTGCTGCTGGCTTCTTCCTCTGCATCAGCTTATGATCACCTTGAGCTGAATCACAAAAAAAATCTGCTTCTATCAGAGACAAATATTCCTTAGCCCCATATAGTGCCACATAGATTTGCTTGGTACCCCTTTGGTAAACCTAACAATGATTATCTCATCACAGTCAACAGGAAACATGCTCAGAAATGCATTCTTATGCAGTTTCCTTAGACCATCCACATAAGTGGCCAATTTTTTATAGATCCTTGCCTTTGAATTCTGAATGTGGCCCTGTGGATTCATCAGTTTTTCCCATGGTCAAGTCTCTAAGGCAACTCATTGATAGCCATGATGTGTATTGCAGTGTGTTTGAAATGCTGTCAGTGTTTGTGGAGGCTGTCATCTTCCATAGGTCCAAACATGTGTGTGTCCTGATAGATTTTGGTGCAAAATCCTGATGTGTAGATACATGCTTTCTAGACCTATTCCATTTTGATCTTAGCCATTGTATATGATATAGTGTCATCAATGTACCTTGACATCCAGGATGCTATATCTAGCAGTAGCAGCTATATCTAGGCAAACTTCATCTTTCAGTTATCTCTCATTACTCTCCTTGATTAAAAGAAAGGTGTTTTCTTTTACTTTCCAGTGATAGAAATATTTGAGATAAATCAAGAGAGAAATGTTACAAGTATAATAACAATTTAGCAGTCATTAACTAAAAGAGAGAGAGTTAAACAATACATCATGGTCATTGAATACAGCCAGCATGATGAGAAACACTAGTAACAGTAAAAAGTATATATAAAAATGTTCATAAAAACATTAAGAGGCAAGAAATATCCTAAAACATACAAAATAAGACAATAAATAAAGAAGATTATCTGTATTTAGGTGAAGGAAGTGTAGATTATAGTTAATAAAATGGAGGAACATTGAAATGTACAAAAGTATCATTAATGATATTTACAATATATCAGTTATCTCACTCAACACATGACTAATTTCTAATCCATAATCTCTATTACATCTAGATCTCAGCCAATATTTTAACAATGGAAAAATGTTTTCCTTGTCTATGATTTGTACTTGATCAACTGGTGGAAGCTTGTCACAGACAGTATGATGCTGAAGTTGGTCTTAATTGTTCTTTATATCTAACATGAAGTGACCATTCTGTTTCCCCAATATATATATACTCTTTATTGCACCCACATGTAAAATATATCTTTCTATTTAGTGCTAATTATGTTTTTGGAAGAAGTAATTTTTTTAGCGAAAATATATGAAGTGTCTTTTCACTTCTGATGAATAATGTGGACATTGAACTTTAGGATTTATAGGAGCTTCATTTTTATTCTTAAGATTGTCATCTCATTCACATTTGTGGTGCATTTAAAGATTATTATAATGTTTTTCATTATAATGTTGAAATTTAAACTCGTACATTAATTTATTCATTTGTAATTTTTATGTAAATTTCACCATATTATGTTGCTTGACTCAAAGAATTGTTTAATACCCTCTTAAAACTTTTTTGTTTTTAAGTTCAGTTGATTTAATGATGAAGTACAAGCTTATCAGAAACTGTACCCATGTTTTGTAAAGATGACATTTGAAGATTGTTGACAAACTTTCATCACTTTACATATAAACTTCTTCATAGAATTGCCCATTTTCTTCAATAGATGTACTAATAATTATTAAGTTTCAGTATTAATTTTCAGTCATATTACCATAAAATTTATGGGATTTATTTATGAATACGTAACTTGTTTTTTAATTGTCTGTACATTTTATTTTTAATTATGAAAAAAAAACATTAGCTTTCTTGGGGTATGGTAGTCATACTTTAGAAATACTTTTTCTCAGAAGACTTGTTGCATGTTGTTGTAATTTTTGATTTGTCCAGATTTATACAGATTCTTATCTTCACTGCAGATTAGTTTTCAAACAGTTGAAAAGCACCAAAGGTTGTGTGTGTGTTTACACCTAATCACTTTAGTATTAATTCTCATATTAAACTAGTTACATATATAATGAAACTGTTTTTATATGTCATTATTGTCAAAAATTGTGTTTAACTTAATTTTGCACAGTCAGTTGTGAACTTTGTGTACAATTAAGAATAATTAAGTTTCTTTTATATTTTATGTAGTTCTTGTAATTTTTGAAAGATATATTTAACCATAGTTATTTCATTCATTAGAAAAAGCTTTGATGGAGTCTCTTCCTTTTGGAAAACAGTGCTGTGAAGAGGAGTCTAAAATTGTAAGGCTTCTCTATGAAACCCAACTTAAGAAGGTAAAAACATGTTGCTTCAAGATATTTTATTATTTTTAATTTGATTAACGTTATTTCAAATATCTGATTATCATCTACATGTAGCAGATTGTTCATCAAGTTGCTGAAAAATATGCCTTTTTGTGGAGAGGCATCTTTAAGATTAACAGTGTCACATACTTAGTTAATTCTAAAAGACAGAGATAATATATTTCTGATGTCTAGTTTCAAATTCCTTAACTAATGATTAACTAATATAGCAGAAAATGAACTTTGACATTTTTTTAAAAAAACATTGATCAAGAGAGCAGAACTGTAAAATTTTCCTAGTGAATAGAAATTGCACAGTTGGTAATTGTAATAAAGAACAAAAAAAAAGAAGAAGAAAGTATTCTAAAACAACAACTGTGAATCAAACAGTGTATTTCATTCTCAGAACTATTACTGCCTAATACTCAATTTTACATTTTCTGATGAATTTAAAAAAAAAAGGAGCTCTATGATTTATGATTGATTAATTGCAATTTGTCGGTCTACAATTTTTTCTTAATTTGTAAGTTTAACGTTATTGTGCATGTCACTTGATAACATTATAGCTCCTCTTAAAGCAGACTAGGAAATATATATGAGCAACATTTTTTGGGTGGAGGGGAGTCTGTGATTATGGATTTGGATGTGATCTGCGATTGGAAAGAAGGGAAATTTAGTGCATATACACAATTTCTAGTTTAATGTTACAAACACAAGGAAAAACATCACAATATTTTATGTAGTTCTACAGTTAAAACTATATTTAACTTTGGCACTAAAAACACAAGCAGATACATTTATAATACACTGAATACATCATGTCATCAAAAAACTTTTAGGTTTGTAACTTTTCTGTGTTTCTTTGGACACATAGCTAAAATATTTACCATACAGTCTCTGCAGTGTAAAAAGACATCTTTTCAACCAGACCTATTTGGGTTAGTAATGCTGTATTTGGAATTATATGTTTTTGTACCAATTGTGCTTAGTACATCAACAAAAACTTTTCCCAAGTTTGAACAGTATTTTTCCTTCTAAGATCATGCACCATCTGTGTTTATACTGTAGTGTTACAACTGCATTTCCTCACTGAATCCCCTCGACGTGGATTCCTGTATATGATGATGGGTCCTCCCAGAGAAGGTTCTGTATTTTCAGTTACTTCCTGTGGAATCTAAACATCCACCCACATGTTTACCATGAGTGGTTACCTGGTAGTTGAGTGGTGTCTGGGGCACTGCAACACACCACTTTGGCCTTGAATTCTTGTAGATGGGTGGCCTTTGGGTGACCCTCCCCAGAGTCAATTGGCTGGTCCACTCGGGCGGCTAAGGTCAACTGAGTACCAGTGTTGGGCGTTTTCAACGGGTGTTGTGGACATTGTGTCTGATGCTGCTGTTTGGATATAGTGCTCACGAAACCCTGGCATTGCTGTAGTGTCGTTCTTTGACATTGTAGTGCATCCCCTCGTAGGACTCCATGGCGGGTGGGGTCAATGGGCACTGAATCTTTCTCATTTACTATGGATCCCCAAATCCTAATAAAACAAGTGTAAAAACTCTGCTAATCGGTAAACGACCACGCCTAGAAGACTTTGAACAGCAGTCTCCACCACAATGTGGACTTGTACCTCACTTCCTGATCCTGCATTCACTGTCCAATAAATTTGGCAAATGTCTCCAAAGTCAGTCAAGAAGCTACATTCTGGGGATATCTTGGTGGAAACATCAACACCAAAACACAGCAAACTCCTCCTGAATTCAAAGACCATTGGGGATATACCCATTGAGATTACTCCCCATGCTTCTTTGAATTCCTCACAAGGAGTTATTGTCGAAAGGGACTTGAAGACCATCTCCGAGTCAGAGATCCTTGCTGGTTTCTCTAGCCAAGGAGTTTCAGCAGTTCGAAGGATCTCCACTCGTCAAGATGGAATTATGGTGCTGAACTGTAAGGTATGGCCATATAGTCCTAACCCTCCAATGTTTTCAGTGTCAGCAGTTGGTCATTCAAAAACATCTTGTCGTGGTTCTGTGACGTCTGCTCGTTGTGGTGGCAAGTACCACGACGCTTACAAGTGTGAATTGGATCCTCACTGTGT